TTTTTCTTTACTTTTTTGCCCAAATCATCAATATTAAAACAATAAAAGGCTTGAACTACTTAAGTTGATGTGCAATGACTCTAAAATACCATATATGAAAGTTTAATGTTTATCAGTACATTACAGAAAATAATTAACTTTATCACAATATGCTATTTTTTTGAGAAGGATCTGTATAAGATCAATATAAAAAGTCGTTCATTTAGCACCTTCTGGCCTCATGTCAAAAAACACAACTATAAATAACTCATTACCTTTTATTACCTCTCTGAATGGTAACATAAGCTCAGTGTTTCAGTAAGACACCAATGTGACAAATGTCAGCCAGAGGTGAACAAGGAAGTAAAACCATAAATATTTAGTTTTTTATTACCGTATTTTTCGGACTAAAAGCCGCACCGGACTATAAGCCGCACCTGCCATTTAAAAAAAAAAAATCCACGAACATTAACATATAAACCGCACCGGACTATAAGCCGCACCCCCAACATAAAAAAAAACAGTACACCCAAATTTGCCGTCAAAAAAGTGAATTCAACATCAAAACATAAAAAGCAAACCTTTAGGAATTAAAGTTCGGAGGAATCCGGTTCATATAATTGACCTTATTTTGGTAGTTTTCTTTAACAGTTTCTGGTCTAACAAAACACCTCATTCATCTTCCTCCGGTGCACTAAAACCATAGAAATCCTCTTCTTCAGTGTCGGAGTTAAACATGCTGAGAAAAGCTGCGTCACACAGCCGTATCTGTTCAGTGTTGCTTTCTGTGTCGCTGTCCTCCTGGGGTAATGCTGGCTCTGAGGCTGTGGTGGGATAGCCCTCCCGCTCCAGCATACGTCACTGCATGGGATTCCTTCCCCGGGGAGTGCAATGAGGAAAAAAAAGTCCACGGCTCTTCACTCGACGTTTATCCACAAAATGGTCCTGGATTAAGCTCCAAAGTTTTTATCAGTCAGATTCCACCGTGAAAAATGTCTGTTTTATCCCCTTTTATGAGTTTTTGGCCATTGACTATCTTTAAATCGCTTCCTGGTACAACAGTCGGCTCTGGAAGCGATTGCTTTTTTCTTTTTTTTTCTTTTTTCATTTCTTTTTTGAAGCGAGTGGTTGAAGCAAATGGAGCATAAGAGCCCCCTGGTGGCTGAAGAAAAAAATCCATGTATAAGCCACACCGGTCTATAAGCCGCATGGTTCAAAGTTCAGGAAAAAAGTCGCGGCTTATAGTCCGAAAAATACGGTAACTCCAAACTTAATCTCCAGATAGAGATATTCCCCAACTTTTTACTTTCATCTGTCAGTTACTAGCTGTTGCAGTAGACCAGTAATTCCAATAGGTGGGGTTGGGACCCATAGTGGGGTCCTGAAACATCAAGGTGGGCTCTTGAAAAAATTTCATAATTAATTGCATTTAAAAATAACTACTAATAATACGTTTTTTGCTGTAGTTGTTACAGAAGAATGTGGTTAGTGTACTTAAAGTGGACAAAAGAATCAATGAAAATTGTTACTATGCCCTTCTTTATTTGACCTGATACCAATTTTTACCAACCAAAAACAGTTAGGGCACATGTTTCTGCTACTGTTATTTTTAGGTTTAAAAGGTGAAAAGTTTGTGAACCACTGCTGTAGACTATTTAAACACAAGGGTTGTTTTGGACTAATGTACCTGAACTCCTGACAGAGAGATAAGGAGTGCAACAAAGGTATTTTTGCTTCAAAAATAAACTTATCATTGTAGGACCTAAAATAAAGTAGCAAAGAGGTACTGATCATTTCTCTGATTGAAAAAAAAAATAAACTGTTCTGCTAAGTTGTGGACTTAAACAAAAAGTTAACACAACAAATCTACTCAATGTTGCAATCATTGAATTGCACTGGGTAATTGATTTTAGAGTTGCTTCTTGTTGTGTGGGTTGGAGGGTGGGGTGAAGGTGGGCATGATTTTATGTTTGGAGAGTGGGGTGTTTTATGTATTTTTTAATTGCAAAATGTTTTATTTTATATTATTTTTATTTTTGTTTTTTTTCTCTCTCTTACTTCTATTTTACTGTTGGGTGTTGTTTTGTTTTTACTGTTTGATGGGACCATAGATATAAATTAGCCTTAGGCTAAATCTGGTGCAATGCATCAAATTATGTTTTAATTACACACTGTCCCAAACAAATAAAATCATTCATTCATTCAATCATTCATTCAAAAGTCATGTGGCATGCCACATATTTCAAGAGAGATAAATTATCACAGTTACAAGGAGAGCAGAATGGTAAAACAAGGAGATGATAAAAGTTGAAAGGGCAGCAGTTGAACAAGGCAATGCTTTTTGCCCAGCCATTTTGATCTATGRCAATCAAATGCTGGTGAAACTGAAATCAACCAGGCTTGGTGGAGACACACACAAGGGAAGTGGAACAGATTGAGTGTGACACAAGGAGGGAGAGCACTTTATGGTGGGACATGCTCGATGTGGGAAATTAATTAGCTCCCGGGCATGGTGGAGGCAGTGCGCTGAGGGCACAGGCATTTTCCCAATCAGCCTCTGATGTGATGCAAGCCAGCTGACACTCAACATTTTGTGGCACTGTGTGCTCATATGGTTTTATGCGATTGTGCGAGTGGGTGTAAAAGAGAGGGAGAAGCAATTATCAGAGCCTGGAATATTTAAGCCGTGAGGTAGCAATAATGCAACCGAAAAATATGACTTTGATGTGTTGTGGTGGTCTAGAACTGGTAAACAAAATACAAATACGCAGTCTGTTTGAGCAGTCTATGTTTGATAACCTTGGGCAGGAGATGCAATGTTTGAAGTGGAGACAAAGATTGGAA